ACTGGTATGGTCTAATATGGATATGTTTCTTTATCGAGGTTCGTCGACTAGTTGGCCATTTTCCGTGGCCAGTATGTTATGAGTTATAATTACTATAATCACTACTAATTATATCGTCTATATCCATAAATTGTATAATTTATAAACAAGTAGTCACTTATCCAGAAATCACTATTATCCCGATTGGCTGTTGCAATTTGCAAGATACTTGCCGATTGTTGGCCGGATGAAAATCGATGCTGCGCATCCCAACTCCGCACTCTACCATAGTGGAACCGGTATGGAGAGGGGATGCATAGAATCAGGCCAATCTGTGTTCCTTCACTTGCTACCTGCTGGACAATAGATAATTTATTACAATACTTCGCATCATTTTAATTTTAATTAAAGATCAGACAATATTGAATACTCTATATCATAATAGCATATTAATATAATATCCCGTGATCCGTATTCGTTCATCCATTTCAGTGTTCACTGTGCCCACTGTCCAGTCTCCATTCTACAGTCTAAAGGTCCCAACACTCAACCTGAATTTCCTTTCCAAAACGAAAACAACACTTCGCTTAAAACGGCAATTGATTAGAATAAGAATTTGTTTTGAAATGTATTAATTTGATGGTTTTATTACGACGACATAACCATAGACTTAAATGCTGGCTTAAGTATAGAACTATAGTTAACCTGTCTCTATGACTCTATAGTATCTCCACCACTGGTCACGAATGCACGATAATAATATGTGCTAATACAAATAATTAAAATAATATAATGGCACATGTCACAGAGCGTTTAAGGTTTAAAATTTCAAATATCTTAAAACGGGACTCGAACTATATAGAAACTTCGTAAAACTACTGTTCTGTAACAAAACTGTCCGTAAACAAATATGCGTAATATTGATAATTAGCATTTTTGATATTAATTATTATACCTAATAGTATTTTGTATTTTTTCAATTTATCAAAACATTCACTTACGTTTAATACGAATAATTAGATTATTTAAAAATTAAAATATCGATAGCAAATGGTTTGAAAATCAAATTGACAACACTACAAAATTATGTTTTTATGATTAATAGACGGATCATGATAAAATAGCTGGTACATACCTACTACATGTAATACTTATGCACTTGGTCATAGCCCATGGGATAGACTACGATCTTGGTAAATAATTCTGGATTCCATCGTGGAGATATGACTCCGGAGTCTATTGTTAAATTTATGCTGGAGGACGAGAAAAAAATGAGACGCGGTCAAAACATACGTCAAGATGGTGCTGTTAACAAAGGAAGATTAAAGAAAGGAAAGAACATAGAAAAACTATGCATTAAATAAGTTTAAATGTGCACTAAAGGTGGAAATTGAGGAGATAGATCTCCTTTTATATTATTAATTAATATTCAAGATTATTTAATAAATAATAAATGATAGGGATGTAGGGGGAAGGACGATCTGCGGGGGTTAAGTGTCTCACTACAGTGTCGTGAAACATTCACTAAAAAAAAAAGGTTTTAATATGGTAGGATAACCGTTAACCCATATCAATATAAATTTATGGAAAAAAATCTAAGCGTATTGCCTAAGGCCTTGCGGTTAATCAATACGATCCTGGGTCTTAAATGTAGTTGCAGTATGATATATTGATATCACTAAGTACAATTTACAGTCTACATTGAAGATGATACTCATGGTTTTAGACTTTCAAAATGTATTGAACCATACGCCAAGTAGATTTCCATGTATTTGAAAGTTGAACTAGGGAATTGTGAAATGAACCTGAAACCTAAGTTAGGTATCCAATGCAATTGATGAAATAAAAAACTGCATGGTACTGTTCAGCAACATCTAGTCGATTTAAGGTGAACTCTGATTGCCTTAGAGATTCAGTGTTAGGTAAATACTAAATAATTTCACTAATAACGATGTTTACTATAAAGCTCTTCTGTTTAAAAATTAAATTTTGGGTGCAGCCTTGAGAATAAAAACTCTCAACATTTTAAGTTGGCCGATAATAATAACTCGTGCAAAAAAAATTATTAGTCATTACTCATTAGTCAATAGAAATGCATAGCCAATAGAAAGGAGACTGGAAACATCTGTATAAATAACAATGAAATAAAAATATATGTAAATTCATATTTTAACATAGGCTATAATTTTAAATTTTTTCTAAAGATAAGCATTATTATTTTTAAATAACTGAAATAAAAAATATTTTAAAACAATTTGACATACTTTTATAATATCTTAAATACTTTATTTAGAATACATTTTTTTATGAATTATTTGAACACATATTCAGATTACTTTTTTTTTCATAAATATAACAAATACTCTTAAAAGTATTTGACCAAGTCTGGTTAGTTTTAATAAATTAGTAGTCTTATTTAAACAATTGATTTAGCAAGTAATCTACAATTTTTTGACCTCATTTTTTATTTAGACATTTAATCATTTGAAAAAATGTTTTCTTAGTAATTATTTAAACTTAGAAATTAAATGTTATTTGTGTTGCTTATTAAATATATTTCTATCAATATTTAAAAAATAATTAGGTATTCATTTAATTTAATTTATTTTATTTTGATGATAAAAATTTGGTTTTTAATATTTTATTATTTTATAATTCATTATTTAATAAGAAAAATAGGTATAAAAATTTTTTATAGGTAAGATATCCTGATTGAATAACATTAATATGGGTAATCATTAATCACAACAAATTACCCAAGATTATGGGTTTTGTGATGAATGCTTACGAAAATATAATAGTGTTGCTGTATGGCGTTATTGTACCGATATTTTTGATTATATGAGCTTATCTGCTATCATTGATGGAAAAGTATAAAAAATCTTTATTCATTAAAATAGTTTTCAATATTATTATGTATTAAAATATTTAGATATTTTGTGATATGGTGGTTTGTCACCTTCAATTCAAACATTGGATCAAATTAGAACAATTGGTAGAAAACAGGAAGTTGCTCACGATGGACCTATGTGTGATTTATTATGGTCTGATCCTGAAAGTAAACACCTTAATAAATCAATCGTTAGTATCCAGTAGTTATGAAATTATATTACATGTATCTTAGATACACAGGAATGGGGTGTGAATCATTGAGGTACTGGATATCTGTTTGGATCTGATGTTGTTTCCTATTTTAAAACTATAAATTATACAGATAATATTTGTCGAGTTCATCAACTAGTAACGGAAGGTTATAAATGGCATTTTAATGAAACTGTCCTTACTGTTTGGTAAGCTCCTAATTATTGTTATTGGTAAACTTATTCTTGTTATAAGATAAATTTATTTAGTTATTTTATATAGTTTAATACATTATTAGTTGTGGTAATGTTGTGGCAATTTTAGAACTCAGTGAAACACTATAAAGAGATTTTATAATATTTGAGACAGCTATACAAGTAAGTCGTGCAGTGCCAACCAAAAAACTTACAGCTGACTATTTCCTTAAATATGATTAAATTGTTAATGTGTTTAACTATAGTTTTTATAGTATAATAGAGAAAAAGAAATTCTAGTTTTAATTTAATCATAATAGTAAGAATAATGATAATATTATGAAGTAATTTTTATTTGTATTTTATTTAAGCCATCTCAAAATTTTATATTCTTACACATACTTAGTTTAGAAATAACTAGATTAATAAATTATTCTTTTAGACATTAACATGTAGTAGAACAATAATTTTAAATAAAAAAATGTATAACTTTATATTTTTTTTTTATTATTAACAATTTTACATACACATAATATGAACTATAGGTACAAATGATAAATAACATAAAGTACGTACTTAATGATATTTTTAAGTGTTACATTAATACATAAAATGCATGGTTACGTTGGATCACTTGTTACCTTAAATAAATGATTAGTTAAATTATTGAAAATCCAGAATTTATCTGTGGTACAAGTTTACAGTATTTATATTGTTGACGTGTCAATATCACATCATATTTTATCATGACATATTAATTAACTACATATTAAACTTCTGTATTTTGTGTAAAATTGTATTTTTATTAACTAATTTCAAAAATAGCTTTGTAAAATAAACATTTGAATCAGTTTAATGTCTAATGGGTAAGAGCCAATAGGGTATTAGTGTATTACAATAAAATTAAAATGCATGTACATTTAAGATGGTGTTGTAACCTTACCCATAATTATTTTTGTCAGAGTTTGCACCCCAAGGCCGTAGTGGAATGCTATTTAATAAAAGCGATTTCGCTTCAACATAGGTCCCCATGTATTTCTAATGAACCTTCAAACACTTTACATTCAATGCAATCACAACCAATTTGCTAAGTAAAGCTCTTATTTTCTTAATTATTTGTACCAATACAATATATATAGCTTAAAATCATTTAACATGTTGACTGCCTATGCGGCCACAAGCATATTTATCATGGACACACCAAGGACATTTTTCAATGTCATTATGAATTTGTATTTATACTATTGAAATTGAAAAAAAAAAATGTTTACATTTATTTCATCAAAAAAGTTAATTATTCTAATTATGCCACAACGCATTTTCTAGATCATTAATGTAGTATCCTAGAAAAGTTAATAATATAAATCTAAATTAATTTACGGCAGCCCGCAGTTACATGACTTACAAATGATACGGTGCGAGAGCCGGCAGTCAACCTGTTAAGCATTTTATTTACATTTTTAACCCATAGCAACATGCTGCATCTTTAAAATTATAACTTAAAGCCTATAAGTAATCTAAAATACCATTCTTCTTATAATAGTTTTCATTCACTTTTATTTGTATTATATAATAACTTTTTAGTAAAATTGATGTTATTACTTATTTTTTTTTTAAATTTCTGTTGTATTTAATTATATAGGCTATATTTATAAATGATTTCTATAAAGAATTATTCATATTATTTCAGAATGTCAAGAATAATTAATACAATGTAAAATTGTTTAATTATTTAGTTAACATAGTTTCCTTTTATTATAAAGTACATTGATAATATAAATAGTATAAACATAAAGTGCATTTTATAATTAATAATCATTATGAAGCTTTAATACTATCGATAAGTGGACCTTTAAGTTTTTTCATTTTGTGTACACCATCTGGATCTAATTTAAATATACTGTCAATGACAGAAATTTCTGTTGATGTAGTATCTGTACCACAAACAGCACACCAATCATTCACGACCATTCCAGCTCCAATTACGTCTGAACCACGGTTTACTGTTCCAGCTACAAGAGGAACTTGAATTAGACCGGACAATTCATCAAGATCTTCCACTGTGGTTTTAGGATGTACTAATCCTCCTTGATTTGATATAGCACAGTATGAACCTACTAAACAATTGGATGCTACAGTTTGTCTATACACTTCAACATTTAAAGTATCTGAAAGTATCTCTTCTGTATCTTTGTCTAAATCAGGATGAACTAGTGCTACATAATCATTGCACACCATTACATTTCCAAGAGCAGATAAACGTTCTTCTACACGTTGTACTTTGACGTTATCAGGTAACGAGTTCCGTATGTGTTGCAGTTCAGTGTCTGTAGTAGAATTAGGTAATAGTAACCCATTTTTGTTGCCAACGGTCATACGACCAACAATGCGACATCCAGCAACAGATGCATGGATAACTGGTATGATATCAGATAATTCTGATTCAAATACACTGTAAAACGTTTCAGATGCACCAATTCCAACCAAACAATAAGAATTTGTCAACTTGCTGAATACTCCTATTTCGTTGTTGTTTTCAAACTGTGCACGAACCGCCATATTGTATAATATATTCTCAAGTCTCAGACCAGTCCTGTATAGAATAAATTGTATGCATTATAAATTAGATCAAACATTATTAAGGCCCTTAACATAAAATAATAAATGACAATTATAAACAGTATTGATTGCTAATATTGAATGATTTTAAGATAATAATTTAAAAATATAAATATATTACTTAAAATTAAATAAGTCAATAGCAATTTTTGAGACAAAAGTTAAGTTTGCTAAATAATAATTAATGTACTATACATTTTAGATTACTTTAAAACAATTTATTAAATACTCCATACAAATTATTATAAAATTGTTTATCATTTATGATACAATAATTAATCTTAAAATATTCATAACAACACCTATTTAATTAAAAGTACGAGTTAAAGTTTTTAAGAAAAAACTCTACAGCTAAAATAAGTATTATAAACCAAGAGGATCAAAAAAATTATTAAAAATCGATTATTAACTATTCAGTATTGTATTAAATTGTATATAAACAGCAGTCAATAATTGGTGTTACCGTCATGTCCAACGTAGGTATTATTTAACAATTTCAATTTATATTGGAACTATATTGTCTATATTGGCTTAATATAACTGCTTGCCACGTGCAATTATATTCAAAGTTTATAATATGTACTCATTATAACTTCAGAGTAAACAGCACCAAGACATACGTATTTCGAGAGATATTAAAAAAATATATATACTTACGTTTTTACAAATACTTTTTTCAAAAACTAACAGATCGATTAGTTAACTTATTTGAATCCCGACTTTTGAGTTTACTAAAATATACTTTGTTTTATTTGTTTTGTTCAACTATTTGAAGACTTGAAGTGTTGAAGTCTTGATCACTTTATAACCTACAAACAGTACAAACCACGGTTGTAGATAATTGTTTATGAACATTAGTCATGAGACATGAATCATGATGTAGAGAAGGTCTCAATGCCTCATCGGAGACGACCGTTTTCGTAAATCAAAATAAACATTTTACTTGGTACTAATACACAACCATGTTAGTTTCGTACCTATTTACGTTCCTATCTTCTGATTTGCTTACAAAACGATATCGTATCGTTAAAAATTATGATAAGCTGTTTCATGTTTGATATTATCATTTATCATGATAGGAGTCATAGGACAATAGACCTTAGTAGTTAGTACCTTACATTGAGTACAAGGCATAACAAATTATAGATTTAATTTGTCATAGCATAAGCCATAAGGCCCAGACTACAGATCTGAGATCAGTAGAGTACTCTATAGTCTATGGTATAAGGTTTATGAATATAATAGTATTTATCTTTAATTATGGTATTAAAACTATTTTATTACTTTTATTACTTTAGATTGATTAACTTTTTTCCCAAAAACATTGCATTTATTATATTTTAAAATAATATCTAGGTATCATATAACCATATTTTATTATTATTATTAATATGCCTATATTTAAATGTCATAAAAGCTATCAAAAATAACTTTTCAACGTGAAAATGCCCTTTAAATGTAACCAAAATGGTTTGTGTAATGTTTACTGTATAGGCATTTAACTAGGTATGCAAGAAATAGGAAAATAACGAATTAATTATCGGCATTAATAACATTTATTTATCTTAACTAACAATAATACAATAAAAACAAAATAGGTATCCAACTTAGGCATTCACAATAAATAAATAGATAATAGTATTTCGTTTTAAATGTTGTTGAGATGAGTGATCACTGAATACATATCAAAGGTATGATAAACTGTAATTTATAAAATGCTATAATTAATTTATCACTCAGTTTATTACGTATTAATCTAAAAATTAAATTCAATTGTTAAGCTAATTTTATCTAAGCAATAAGCATTAATGTTATTTATATTTTAATTTTACTATATAAATGTATAAGTCAATGCATTATAATATATTAATACGTGTAAACTTTATATTTTTCAAGGAGTATAATTATAAACAAATATAAAATAATTTTAAATAAAAATAATATTTAATTACATACAGTTTTTTCTCAGTAAGTTTTATTATTTTATTGTATTTAACTTAAAAAATATTAAATATACGGACTAGAAGCCTATCATTGTTACATATATTAATATATCATTATTATGAGTATCTATGTACAATATTTTCAAAAATATAATACACTATATAATTTTAAGTTCTTTATTTATATCGTTAATTTATTCAGTATATATTATTTGGTAACATACTAATTACTATTCTACGATAAGCCGCAAGTCGGAATTGATTTAAAATATTTATGTTGTTTTTAGCAAAAACAAGTTTAATCAAAAAAAATTTAGAAAATAATAATAATAATAAATCCATAATGTTTACATCTAGTGACTAAAAATGTTCAAATTCACCGCGTATTTTTTCGCACGTGTTTATGGTTTACGTAGCCCTACTGACATTCGCCACGAAGCATGTCGCTGCTTTCGGTAAAAGTAGTGAAACCACTGTGAAAATTAATAGTTATTGTTGATAATACACATGTGATAACAGAAACAACGGTATTTTATTATTATTTTTTGTAGATCTTAATAGTTAATTTTAGATTTAGTCGTTTAGTTAGGATTTAAGAATCTCATCTTGTTGGATATTTTTTAGAATGTTTACCTTAAAATAAAGATCTTTTAACTTGGAATATTGAGTATTACATTTTTTTTTATGACTGAGTTTGAGAAAAACCACCGTGTACTATAATGGACATTTCAACTATGCAAATAAAACCGGTGACAGTAAAAAGGAATTGTGTCACCGGACAGTCGGCATTAAACGTTTCTTAGATATTAATCGCTCGAATTTTTTGGATCTTAAATCTTTTGAGTAGAATGGATCACGCCGAGTTGGTATTAGAAATGTCTCATTTAGAGCGGATGCCTACGGCAGATAGGTTAGCCCTAGCTAGACGGCGTCGGGTACAACAATTACGACTATGGGCTCAAAAAGATCGCGAACGTCGACGGTCGTCTCCACCACGCAACAATAGACATATATATTTTAGTGACAATGTCATGTTGTTGGAAGCTGCTTCTAGAAACGATATTGAAGAAGGTATGACATAAATAAATTATTAATAATTAATTTAATGCAGAGTAAGAGTTGAGAGTTTAAAATGTTTTCAGTTAAAAGACTTTTGGTCAAAGGGGTCAGTCCAGATGCTACAAATGAAGATGGACTTACTGCCTTGCATCAGGTAAATTATTATTTAATGAACTCAAAAATAAAATTCATTGCAATTATTACAATTTTTATGTAGGCATATTAGACTACTATATTATAAATTTAGAAAAAAAAAATATTATTCTAAAAACCAACATAGTAAATTTTTACTTATATAATTTTATCAATAAAAATATTTTAAAATCACCAATACTTATATTTTTTAAGTAAATTAAAAAGTATAAAATTACAAATATTTTATAATATACAGTATGTCATAGAAGTATCACACCTAGTATCTCTATGGAAAATCAGTATACTCAAATACAATATTTTACGTCAATTAAAAAAAAAAATTCTAACTAAAAGGCATGTTTTAAAAATTGTATTAAATTTAGTTTTTAAATCTCCAAAAAGCTATTTTTTTATTATAAAAGTTTTGAATAGTTCATATAGTTTAAAAAATATATATATTTAAATCTAATAAAAATCAATCAAATTGTGTAATTATTAGATAGCTTATGATGTAGTAGTGTAGTATTGAGTTATTTCATCAATTTTCTAATTTTATTAAAAACTTAATTTTAACTCTTATTTATTTATTTATATTAATTAATAACAGGCATAAGCCCACTAATACAATATTGCATATTTATTGGCACATGGAAACTAATAGACATATTGGTAATAATACAAATTAAGAGTCTTGAAGAATCTAAAACCAAAAGGAAAGAGTTTCTAGAGATAGTAAAACGGGTAATATAGGCAAAATGTGTAATTTATGTAATGTCAATGGGCAAATGAGGTTAAGTAGACTAAAGAAAGCAACAAATGTTAAATTAATCATTAAAATTCTTAGAAATGTAATTGTATCTAACATTATCTATGCATTATTGAAGTTTGAAAGTTAGAGCAAGTAAATTTTCATTTATAGAACATTACAAAAAAATAAAATTAAGCAATAGAAAACCAAATTTATTCAACAATTTTATGTTGGTGATGAAGTAGGTTTATTTATAGTATGAGTATATGCTTTAATCAATCTAGAATTTTCTAAATTTTTGTTTAAAACAATTATGATTAAAATATATATTATTATTAATCTAGTTATTATTTTTAATTTTTTAGTGTTGTATTGATGATAATGAACAAATGATGAAACTTTTAGTGGAGTTTGGTGCTAATGTTAATGCAGAAGATAGCGAAAAATGGACTCCTTTACATGCTGCAGCCACTTGTGCTCATTTACACTTAATTAAATATCTTATTGATAAGTATGTTATTCTTCTTATTTTTTTTTCTTGCTGTTTATTTATAATAATTTATTTTTAGGGGTGCTAATTTACTTTCTGTAAATGCTGATGGTAACATGCCATATGATATCTGCGAAGATGAAGCTGCATTAGATCTTATTGAGAGTGAAATGGCTAGACGAGGTGTCACACAACAATTGATTGATAATACACGTTCTACTACAGAAAATCGAATGTTACAAGAACTCCAGCAAGCTGTTGAAAATAATCAAAGTTATTTACTAGAATCGTATGACCATCAAGGAGCTACACCTGTAATATATATTGTGTACCTATTTTTTATTTTATGTACATTATTGAATATTTAATTATATTTTAGTTACATATTGCTGCTGCTAATGGTTATTTAAAAGTCGTTGAATACTTATTAGATAATCATGTTGCAACTGATGTTAAAGATTCTGATGAATGGCAGCCTGTTCATGCTGCAGCTTGTTGGGGTCATGTAAGTATAGTTTTTCTTTATAAATTAAATTTTTGGGTTAATCAATTTTAATTATTAATTGTATCAATGGGCATTTTTACCGTAACCAAGTTAGAACTATTAATTTATATAATATTTTATTGAATTATGGTGCATAGTAAAACTTTGTTGTAACGAATTCCTAAATGATAGAAATCTCCTTACAATAGAAAATAAAAAAAATTCGGTAAACTTATATCCCATATACAATATTTTAGTTTCCCCTTTAAAAGAAATTTCTTGATTACTGGACAATTAATTGGCCCTGAACAAATCTGCTATAAGGAGATTTTACCATAGTATATAATTTTCTAAATTTGTGACTATACAAACTTTGTTATATTTCATGTATTAAGTGAATGTTTCACGAAGAAATTCAGTGGTAAACTTTAAGATATGTTTAAAGCTACTTTTGCATCCATAAAGTAGTTAAATAATCTCAACATTAATTTGTAGACAGATACCAAGAGAAATTAAATATTTTTATTATTATTGTATATTTCTGTATTGTTTTTTGTTGACATGGTCATAAATTAATCTTAGTAATACTATTTTATTGTTTATTTATTTATTTATCATTTTAATAAATAAATTAATACATTTTTCTAAGATATTCAACAGTTCTTATGTAAATGGGTAATAGTAAAATTGTTTATACTAAATGTTTAATTTTACACTTGTGGTTAGTTGGAAGTTTTGGAAATATTGGTTCAAAATGGTGCTGATTTAAATGCTAAGACAAAAAATGATGAAACACCTGCAGATATTTGTGAAGATCCAGATTTACGTGATCGTATATTACAATTACGTAATGAACAAGAGACCAAAAAAGAAGCTCAGAGAAGAAGAGTACGGCGTACACAATCAAATAACACAAGAGCTCAATCAGTACGCAGGACATCTATTAGAGAAAAAACGCTAACATCTAAAAAGGATGCAGTAGAAGAAGCTAGGTTAAGGGTTGAAGCTCAAAATGTAAGTAAAATAATCTGATAATGTCAAAATTGTACAATCTGTTAAGAGGAAATGTCTTACTTAGATATATTTTATAGTTTTGTCTCAGTGGTAACATATAAAATTTACTTTGAGTAGTTCTTGTTTTGTTTTGTTATTTTTAATAATACAGTAACTTGATTTTTTAATGAACTTAAAAGTAAAGTATTTATTGTGGTTTGTTAAGTTTTTTTTCTTGATAGTTTGATTTTGATGTAAGTTATTAACTTTTTTAAATTGTAATATTTTATACAATTATTACTTGCTTTATTAAAATACTAAAAAAATCACTCTAAATTTAATACTAACAAAACTTATTGAAAATTGCCAAACGTGAATTTGCTATGTTAATAATGATAAGATAAAGACAATTAATGCTGATTAGATCTACTTGTAGCTGATTTTATAAAAATTAATTTGTTTTTATTTTATTTTTTTGTTATTATTTTAGTTTGCAAAAAAGTTTTTGGCTAATGAGCGTATCACTAGTGACTTAGAAGGAGATTCATCAATTGATTCATTTGTTCCACTACCTAGTCCTGTTCCTTCAATAATTCCTACTACTGAACGTCGAGAACCTGAAGGTGAAGATGTTACTGATGAAAAGTCACAGTTGGAATCTGTTGATGTTGGTCCAGCTGCTGAAACTTGTTATACAACAGAAAGTGATGGTAAAATAAATATACATGTTTCGGTAACTATCAACGCAGGTACTTTAGCTGAGTTAAAGAAACAACGAGCACAAACTCGTGCAGCAGCTGGTCTTCTTTCAAATAATGCAGATTTGCCATCTGATTCGGAAGCTGCATTTAATAGATTTGCTGGTGATACTGAGGATGTGATTGTTGGTGATCCATTGAAAACAAGGCGAAAATGTTGTATAATTTTTTAATTTTCAAACTGCCTTTATATTTTGAAATTTTTGGAGGATTAAATATTTATTATTTTTTTATGGAAATATTATATTTACACTTTCCTTGTAGTTTTTATGTTGTGAATTTTTATAATTTACTTTGTATATTTTCCTTTTTTTTGTACTTAAACATCACTAAAAATTGTTCCGTCCTGTAGAATTATTTTTATTTAGTATTAAATTATTTCAATCTATATGGGCCATTAGAATTAATTTAGATTATTAGTTGTTTACATAACTGTGATAAATTTGTGAGTGTTCGGAGAGTACTTGATCATTTTTTTTAAAACTTATTTTTGTATTTATAATATAAGCACAAATCAAATTGATATATTTTTTTACATTCCAATAATATTTGTTTATGTATAAATATTAAATAATATAATAATATTTTTAAAGTGTATTTTTTTTTCTTTTGAAATATATTTTTTGTAATACATCATGATTTGTATTTTATTTCTCATTTCAGATAATTATTGATTAAAATGGATGCAATTAAATAAGTTGGTAGTAATTGTTGATTATACATAGGTGTTAATATTATTATCTAATATTCAAATATTATAAATTTTGTAATCAATGATAATAAAGCGGTTTAAGATATTTTAAAATTATTATTATTTATTATTTTAGAAATTAAAATGGTTAACTATAATAAATATTTAAAACAATATAATATTTAGTGTTTTAGATGGCATCATTTGATTAGTACACAATTTAATATATTGTAAAAAGTTATCCAAACAACATCAAATACTTTTAGATACTGTACTTTTAAGTACCTATTCAATCAAGCATTAATCTATAAATATTTTGTAAAATAAATTATAAAAAATTTGTTATTTCTTAATAGTAAATACACAGATTGACTTGAAAACAATTTCCACTGTTTGAAATGGCTTATTATTTTTCATATATTTTTATTTTAATCACTTTCATTGAAAATTTACTTTTAGCTAATAAAGAAGGGAAATCACACATATTTAATTTGAAGAAACGTTATTTTCTGTTTTCAATATTAATTTTTAAATAATAATAAATAAGGAAAAGGACAAGACCAAAAATAAAATGCTCAATAACATTATTATGTATATTGTTGCTCATATACATACACATATTTTATAAACTTAACAAAAGATAAATCACAGGCGAATTAATAAACGGAAACTATAATTTTGTTCATATAATAATATTATGTACTTCTATACTAATAAATGACTCGTTTCGACCGAACTATAAAAAAATTGTGCTCAATGCACATTACAATTTTACGTACCTATATCGATTGGTACGTATACAACGTTTTCGTTTTTAAATCCAATTAAAATTACATGATTAAGTCAACTACGTAATTATATTTAACTACAATATTGCTTTCTTTCTAAAATATTTTCACAAAATATTATACATTTTTAATTATCTACCATCAGTATATCAAATTGAGATCGCGTTAAAAATTAATTTTGCGTAGCGATAAATTTTTTTTTGTGCCAAGTGGGTATAAAGTATAATTATCAATAATAATATAATATATATAATTAAATTAAAATATAATTATAAAAGGCCAGTGCAAAATGCATGCTTAATTTCCTGTTAATGTTATAATGAATTCATCATTTGCTTCCCAGTCTTTAATTTTTATTAATAAAAAAAAAAAATCAAATTACAGGTAGGTAACGTTTGATTATATATATATATATATATAAGAAATATTTAGGAAAGAAAATTGACCCGAAGAAATTTTTTTTTAATTTTTGATTTTTTTTTTAGCAAAACAGTAACATTGTATAATAGTTGAAACTTTTTTGATAGATTGTTTAATTTGGCAACGTATATTTTGAATGTGAAACGGATTGAACTCTAGTTAACACGACGATGCGTAGGTATTCCGATGTATGGAACAAAATCGTTTCGACACGAAAATATTGTACACCACGTATTTAACATATTATAATGACGACGACGATAATTTTGATGGCGATGATGATGCGATAATGATTACGTTGATGATGAATAATAGCGATGATTTAAATAACAAAGTTGACCGATAGGAAGCCTAAAAAGAAGCGTCCTTTAAAAATATCTACGTATATACTATGGTAAATGATTATATTTCGTTTTCTTCACTTACACCGAGACTAAAATATATATAATTATTACAATCTAATGATGATGATAAAATGAGCATTTCTCATATATATATGATTTAAATTTGAAAATTTCTCTTAAAAAAAACGAGAGTTGCGTTATAGTTAAAAATCTACATACATACACACATATATATTTATAAATATATATTATATAACATAGTATCTTTATATAGTATGTATATAAATACATAAAATATATATACGTTGTTCTTGGGGTCGTATACATATTATTATTACATATATTATATATTGTACGTAAAATGTATTTTAAATGCCGTCCAAAGGCTTAATCACTATATTATTGGAGGTACCTCAGCCAGAACGAGCGGTAGCGTTCTTGTTATTCGTTGGCTAATATAATTACACGTTGTGTAACAATTTATGGTCGTTTCACTGCAATAGCAGCGGCACTTGATGACTGTACACATATATTATATTATATCATAATTCATAATATAATAAAATATACATAATATTACTAGTACACTACTTATAAGTAGCTAAATGGCGAGCGAGTTTTAGGTGTATATTTTATTATATTATATTTATTATATTATTGTTATTATTATTATTGTCTTCGTATTATAATAATATCATATTCTATGCGAGTGTGTCTGCGAATTTTGTTTGCGAGTGGTAATAAACGATTTCACAAATATAATATATATATATCATATAATATACGTATACATGTACCACGTAGTGCGACGGCTACGAGTACCTCTTGTCGGTGTTGTCGTTCATGGGCGGCGGTGGTGGACATATAAATATCGGCCCCCCAGAGTCCTCAAGAAGATCCTGCAACAGCGCCACTTCGACCGGTGCTCTTCCGCCGCCGCTGCTGGTATTCCGGCCGTTGTTGTTGTTGAGATGGTGGTTGTTGTGGCGGTGGTGGTTTTGATGCTGTTGCTGTTGCTGCTGGTGGTGATGGGGGTTGTTATTGTGTCGTGACGGTTGTGGATGTACAGGTTGCGGAAGTGGCAACGGTAGCGGCAGTGGTGATGGCTGCTGTTGAGGTGGTTGATGCTGCTGCTGTTGCTGTTGATGCTGCTGCTGTTGCTGTTGCTGCTGCTGCTGCTGCTGTGGAGACATAGGACTCTTGCCCGGCGAACAGTCCGATAGATTGTCTGGTATGAGCTTTTCTGTTTCTGGGTCCACATGTGCTGTCCGCCGGATGCCTATTCTTGCGTGGTTACCGGATAAAGAGTCTTGAGTCGCCTGCAATGACCCTTGGTTCTGGTGCCGTTTCAGTATCGACTTTGACCTCCGATGCGGTTCCGGAGAACGGTTTATCGATTCAGCTGACACCGAGGATGAGGATTTACCGCTTTTCCCTGCAATAATCAGCCAAATTGTAATAATACATAATTTATTATATATAATTATGAATAATGTTAACCCGAGTAATATTTTTGTCATCATAATCTATACACGCAATATGCACATTGGTGGCGCAACTAAAGACCCCATCAGAAGGATATCTACATCCTCAGAAAATGAAAGTCCTTTTCTTCTATATTTTTATTGTTGTTTAGTTAATATTTCCGATAATTTGCATGCTATTTTTAGAATAATTTTGCAAGCTATGAACGATGCAATAGCAACAATTCATCAATTTATAATAAATAAAAATAGGGATATTATAAATAATTTGAAAAGTTAATCAATTTTAAACAAATATAATAAAATTCCAAGAAAAGTTATGTTCAATACTAAAATAGTTGTAAATATTGTATTTATTTTTACTATTATTTACATTTAAATAGAGGTTGTATTTATATATAAATATAGATTCAAACAATTTATGTTATTTTAGGGGTTGTGAAAAGAGTGGAATGAAAGTAAAGCCTATTCATATTTCGAGCTTTTTACAATTTGTACACCCCCAAAAATATTGGTCTGGTTACGCCTACAAATGTGCATAATAGATACGATATAGTTACGAATAGCGGTTGCGTATTATAAATTATGTAATTCAGGCAAAACTAAAATATTTCAATGGCTTACGTAAAGTTTAAATTGTTGTACGTATATAGCTATATTATATCATGTGTATACAGTTTTACTAGAGTACAATGTTCGAGATATACACAAGACGTATGTCGCACTGACGTATATTATGTTTGAGTTTAGGCCGTACATATGGGTGAATGTTAGAGGACGTGATTATTTATAGTGGAATTATCTCATATTATTCGTGCTTAAATATTTTATTAGAGATATTTTAATCGTATTGGTTAACTGAGCAGTGGAAAAGGGGGTGGAGAAGCTAATATTTACGACTCTGTAGGGGCCGTTTCTATTTAACATTCTTAAAAAAGTATTCGAAATACGTCTCTGCGCGCATACGTCTGTTCATTATAAAATTTTTATAAATATCTAAAATCGAGAAACTTAAAAAATGCATTACAACTATTGATAAAATAAAATATAGATATATCTAAGATACCACTCTTGTTCATAATGATCTCAATTATTTTAAGATCCTACTTATCTATATAAATAATAAATATATAATGTAATGCTAAAATTAATACATACCTATGTATAAATCTATAGTTAATATATGATCGTATATACATTTATTTACCGACATAATGGTGTAGGTAATATATTATATTTATATTTATACATTTATACCTACCAAATATATTCGCAAAAACGTTGACGACAAAATATCAGTAAATCATTAACATTACATTTTTGTTACAGTTATTCATTGAAGGTACAATAATCAAAAAATTTACTACAATCTCTACAAATTTGCTTTACAATTATTTTATTTTATCAAGCAAATATTATATAATGGTATCATCGGGTATAGACATAACCTCATAGGGTAGGTACAGTCTAAGTCTATTATTACAAAAGTATACGTAAAAGTTTAACAAGCAATGAAAACAGTAAGTGTTTTGATAATTGTGTATTTAATATTTAACGAATATCAAGAATAAAAGAACCATAGAATAATAATATAGTAAAGTTTTTTTAAGTTGTCCACTATTTGTTTGGATTTGTAATTTATTATACCGTATATCATATAATAATATTATGCACTATAGTCACTAAGTATACATACATTATAATATTATTTTTATTTATGTGTAGGTAGATAGTATAAATAGTAAAATATAATGAGATAGGTAGATAGTATAATAACTAATAAGTAAAATACATCTATTATTTCGATAGTCATCAGCTACCTATATAGTGATTACATCATATACATATAAAGACTAAATTCCTCAAACTCACCCTAAATTCAGCATCCCCGTCGGTTGTTAACGTAATGTCCAAACATTATGAAGTTTCTACGCCAATATTTATGGCTGTTATCACATTACATATGTTTAGAGCTGTAATTTAATCCTATTATAAGTTAAAAGTCATAAAGGATAAATGTGTATTACGTCAGTCACAACTCGCTATGACAGATAGATATGTTAACAGGTACTTATTATCTACGTTAATTGGTAACCACTTATCTAAAAAGTAAAAAGTTGAAACAGTGGTACTAAAATATAATAATAATAATTAAGATGCATGTATAAAATTATGTGAGTGAGATGAGTATTAGAGTATTTGCTATATCACTGAAAAGGAAACTTAAATTCGTAGAGATTCGGTAAGTAGATTTTTAAGTTTATGATTTCAAACGTTATTTATTTAAAAATTTGAAATCGTTATCTATTCTCAGTCACAGGAATAATTAAAAGATTAATTTTAATTTAATTACATAATTTAGGGATTAATTCATTATGGTGTAGTGGTAGTGATAATACTTAAAGTATTTGTAATTTTGTCTCTAATAATAGAAAAGTCTCAACAACCGGTATAATTTGATTTTAACTATTTTGTTAGATGTAAATTTAACTCTTACCATTAAAATAAAATATGAAAAAAAAGCAAATAATATATTTGGGAAAATTATATTTTAATTATTTAAATAAATTTAGTAAAAAATTAAAACAAAACACATTTCAGTGAATTAAATAAACGGGTATACAACATTACTTTAAACTTTAAACTGCTATCAGCTCAACTAGATGTCATGCTGAGTGTATTTAAGTACATATTAACTTTTTGTATATCATCTTTAAAAATTACAGTTGAAAATATTACATATTTGATTTGTTTTGGATTATAAGTAAAACAATTAAACCAGCATTATGTTAATGCTCTCATAAAAATGTGTTATTTTCAGAACGGTAAAGAGACCGATTTAATGCAGTAACTGTTGAAAATGTAATTAGTACCTAATCACAATTTAATTGCGGAGTAGTTATTTGATTTTATTTGTTTTTGAGGAATACATGAAATACAATTCTAAAGAATGTTAACAAAAAAAAAATATGTAATCTACTTTTTTTAAAATAATCTCGCTTTTATTTTAAATTTAACTAAATTAATTGAATCCTATATAGTATATATAGATTCACTTTCTGAATAATTAAAATGTCTCACTTCTTAAAGAGGTAGGCACCTATGTCTTTCTATGATGGTGAGATAATTTTTTAGATATTTATACGTATATTTGATAATATGTTTATATATACATTACGGAATATAAACCATTGTTTTTATCTTGTGATTGTTACTGAACACATTTATTAATATTGCTATATTATAGGGTTTTTTTTTGTAAAGGGGAGCACGAAGAAAGCACATACATGTTACCAAATCGGATTTTCGTAGATGTCAATTGTATGAATCACCCGTATTAATACGATGTTTTTCAAGATTTAATCAATTTTAAATTAAAAAATAAAATAAATTATTGAGTTCATCGATCACAGTAAAAAGTATCTAGATTACTCCGGGTACTTATACGTATTTTAGAGATTATTAGCTGTTGCTTAGGATATTTTGGTATATATTATTGCTATACTATTTAACTTTAAACATTTATTTCACAATATCAAAGTTTCAAGGACATATAATTAATATCCTATAAATGACAGAAATGAGCTGTTTCGCATTAATCGTTATTATCTTTGCAGTGGGTTTATACAGATAATAATTGGTTACTTTATGTAGTATATTATAATGATTAGTAGACTCTAAATATATTTTTTGATTAATTACATACAATGCATTTGAACTTTTATCATTTTATAATTAAAAAATTAAATTTCTATCATAATATAGTTAGCCAACTCATGTATATATACATTTTCAAGTAATAATAATATTTGTATTTAAACTTTGTTGAATGGCATTAAAGAATTACATTTATTACTTAGATATATAAGTGATAGTATTTTTATTGATTTTTTAAAACAAAAAAATTACAACCTAAAATCATAAAATATTGATAAATTTTTTATAATTGTATGAACCTATGCAGAATTATATTTTATTGAAATAAACATAATAGTATTTGAATGTCAAGTATAATACAATACGCCTGTAATTGAATTTAATTTATATATAACCTAAATGGAAACTTTTTTTCCACAATATAGTACCTGTTTTATTAGATATTAGTGGTAACCCGAACAAATGTTGATTGATTATTCTTGTAGCATTAGTCAATGTTTTGGACGACAACCCGAACGAAGGTCGTCGTTTCCGTGCGCCATCCAAACTTTCTTGAGACGATCGGCCAAATAAACTTTCTCCAATGTTTGATTGCTTTAACAATGGTAAAATAAAACCACACATATTATATTATCTTTCAATAAAATTTTGTGTTATTTCACTTATGCGTTATCAAAATATTATTATTATTGGTGAAAAATTGAAATTATTGGAAGGAAATAATTAAATCACTGTCGATAAAATATAACGCTACGATTTACAGTTTAAATTTTAGACTATATATATTATATATATTATTTTAATTTTTCAAACAAAATAAATGAATTAAAGTTCTATAGATATTATATTATATATAATTTTGAGATTTTTAATTCGATATTTGCTTATACTGGAACGATAGTATACGTATAATATTGTTGTTGTAGTTAAATAATCGAATTGTCATAGTATGAGTATATGAAATTAGTATAACTGGTCATTGTTAAATGTTATTAAGCCTATACTATATATTATATGAAATTTCGATTTTCAAAACGAAAATAATTGCTCTTAATATATTATTTATATATTGACTATATCTATCTATAATATATAAATATATCAATAATACTAATAAATTTAACTGCCGGCTTTAGCGGAGGGAATAGTAGGTATTGGTAATTAACGCAGTTATTACTAATACTGATATTTAATTAATGCCATTAGATTTTCTCGGTGGTAAAATAATTATCAATGAGAGCCATACATAATATTGTAGGAAATATTATTGCATTAAAATGTTTCTCCACGGTTTGAACAAATAGTTAAAACTTGAGATACTTCAGAACATATTTTTGATTCACCAAGTACCACTTTTATTATTCATTCAATATTACATTTATTTAAAATCCAATTTTTAAATATATTTTCAAAATCTTGAGATTTTTCGTACTACTTAAGGATTTTCGTTAAAATCATTTTTAACGACTTTTATACTGAAAAACTACGGTTCTCCACGACGGCAATTCTTATATTTTAGGTGTATTTCATAGCATTATAGAAATAACATAGTCATCTACTGTTATATTACATGAGTATGACATTAATATAAAAATTATAATGATATGGACGTGGTTGATATATTAAAATGTGATAAATCATATTATAATAGTTTAATTTCATTGTCATAATTTATAGGTTCATGATTTCAGTGTCGAATTTGCAGCTATAGTCTATAGCATTGGCATTATTAACCAGCATTATTCACGGACCGAATTTGGTGAAAAACATTTTATGTTGGTTACGTGATTTTAAGTACCCAAATACACGTATGATTTACCTTATAATATTTTTTTGAAAATTAACGAAAAATTTTAAATTTTTCTGAAACCGTATCGATATTAATATTGCCCCTTCGAAATGTTTCGAAAAATGACTATAATTTGTCTCCGTATATGTTAATACAAGTCTGGACTCTGGGGAACTTATTTTTTCCGTTCAGTTATTTCTATAATAACAATATTATACTACAGCTATACGACTTACTTGCGAAAATCTTGTCTTTCGTTGTTTTGCCGTTTCGTTAAGGCTACCACGACTGCCGACTGCCGCAGTCCTGCCTGAGAACTCTTTGCACTCGTCCATCGGCGACGTGCCCAAGCTCCGGGGCGGGCCCCCTTTGCCTCCTTTGCCACCAGTACTCTCTAGCGGGTTTACGTACAGGTTGGAGTCGTTGATGCCAACTCCGCCGCTGTCACTGCCCTTACCGGCAGTGGTGACGCCACTGGCCGGGACGTGACTGACCTGCTCGAAAACGGTGTCGTGCAGGTCGTCGGCTGTCAAGTCACCTTGTGAATGGAACGGTTGTGACTTGCAGCTGATGTACGTGTCTGAGCTATCAACGCTGCCCACTTCGTTGCGCGAACGCCATTGGCCGCCACCTGATGATGACCCGTCGGCCTCTTTGAGCGTTCTCATCTCCACGCTGAGCGGCGTCCGTAGATCACTGGTTGGATATGGTGTCAGGTGTTCGGCGTCCAAGTACTCCTTAACCTCCTGCAGTACCGCACCATAAATACCCAAACACATACATGGACGCATACACGCATTGTGTCAGCGAAAACAAATAAAAACAAATACAAAATTAGAAAACGTAAGCGCCAAAATACGATTGAGTAGATTGTCATCAATAAAGTTACTAAATGAGAAACTGGGGCTAGTTTTTACATAAGTTGGTTATCACTTATCACAATTTTAATGTAGGTAAGTATAGCTTTAAAACCTTGATAGTATTTATATTCGTTTTATGCGGAGCTATAGAATTGGCACCCAAACTCAGGTACCTAATCAATATTTTTACGCATTGAATTAGCTTCCAGGATTTATGCATTGAGTTTGCTCCCTCAAAATTTATTTTATAAAACCGACGAGCTGTAACGGATTGCGACGAATTACAAGTACTGCATTTATCATATTAGTGAAATCTCTTATATATTGGTAGTTAAATTGTATAAATACGACGATGATTGTGACTGTTTAATCCGTTATTGGATTAACGATTAGATAATTTTATTTCAAGCCGTTATCCGATACTGCGTTGATAAAAATATTTAAGTCACGTACTTTTATTTTTTGAAAACCACTTGTTTAAAATTATATTGGGAGCCAATTAAATGTTCAATGATGTACTTTACCTAATATTGGGAGTCAATTTAGTGGTCATCGTTTTACGTACTGTAGGTACTTATATTATCATCATTAAGAAAATATTCATTTTTTATCTCGACTTTGAGTTGGTTGTAGTCGTTTAATGAATTTTAAGTCAAACGAAGACCGAAGTGAACTTCAAGTCTGTGAGTAATTTTTTTCGTAAATATATTTACATTTGCTATTCATAACAAACGTTATAACTATACATTTTTTTTAAGTGTGGACTTAAGATGATATTTTGAATAATATAACTGAAAAAATTGTAATCGAAAAAAATTAATGTTAAAAATTGTGACAATTAGTCCCGGTTTCCCTATATATAGTTGGCGACGTACGTAAATAGGTAATATGCACTAACGCTATCATATTATAATATAACATAGTGTAACGCATAAGTGAAATAAAGTATTATGACTATAATAGCACTTGACGGCCGACAAGATGTCACTAAATTATTCGTATGATGCATATTTAGTATTATTATACGGTGTATATATACAATAGTCGTGTTTCGTGTTTTTATATTTATTTATATTTTCTATTAAGACAGCTTAAATACAATTTTAATATTCTAAACGATACTGTTAAAAATCATTTCTAAAAAATGAATAAAATTTTAAAATTTTTTTTAGCATCTAATGACCTATGAAAATATATCAGCAAAATAATTAAATCTCGTTTGCTTGTTAATTACTATCACCAGTACGTAATAACTACATTTTTATTTACTCAGCCATTTTCATAAATATGATTTTATATGAATTCATATTATTCAACTGGACGTCTACAAAATACATATATTATAATTACATGGAAAAACATGAAATATTTTTGGGAACTTTAGCTGTAAAAACTAAAATAAATGATTTTCAAATATTTACAGCATTTTTATAGCTACCTAATCATCAAAAATAGTAAAATATAATAAAGTAAGTTTAAAATTGACGAAACAAAGATTTCTAGATAAATAAAATATAAATAAATAATAATAAATCATGCAGTTCTCTAACTAATGGTCAGAATAGTTCGTGCACGCTATAAAAATGTATAATTTATTATCTACGGAATTTTTATTGATTAAATTATTCTAAAGAACGATTAACATCGCAAATGTTTCATTTAATTTTATGTTAATTTTATCAAATAATAAATGATTGTATTAATATATAATATGCTTTATGTAATTTATTTTAAACACAAATTATAATTTTCATATCGAATATTACAATTTAGCAGATTAAAACTAACAAACTTTTATTCGTTAAATTTGAACTTGTTTCGATAAGTACTATTTAGTTCATTTTTAAAAAAAAAATTTTCAAAGGTGGTATGTATTATAGTACCTACGACCTATATTTACATTTAAGTTTGGGACATAGTTCGATAGTTTTCTTGTTTCGTTGAGAGTTATGTTATTTCATGATATAAATATTTATTTATGTATTGTATAAATCTAATATAGATACCAAATTATTCGATTCAAACATGTTTATGAGTTATGAGTCACGACTCTTGTGCAAAACCCATCAATATAACAAATCGACACGCCATCAATATGACTCATATATTAATAAACGTCAAACTGTTTCACATAATATTTAAGTAAAATGTTAAATTGAATTACACGTGAATAAATTATAACTCATAATAAGACGCATTCAGTGCAGAGTGCAAAATTAATTTTTAATTAAATTAATGATTAATAAAGAACGTTTTGCTTTGGCGTCTCAGTGGCTGGTTTACTTTGTTTACAAAGATAAATCGAAAAACATGGAGTCATAGCACCCGAATAAATAGCAACAAATATCAAGTGTCGCAGACTTATCGATTTAGTACTTTTAATTATTCAAAAACGATGACAACATTTGTGATGGTTAATACTTACTACCTAGAGTGGCGTGTTGTATATTGCTTACAGTGATTAATGTCCAACGAGCGTATTATAGAAGTCCGTAAATAATTTTAAAAGCACTTGATAGTACTCGTATATTAAAAACTTATTATACTGAGAAAAAATATTTTAAATTTTTTGAAAATGTTAGTGCTTATGATGTTTGCCAATATTTCCTTTAGAAAAAGATAATATCTTAAATAAAAGGGTAGGTAAATATAAATTTTAAATTTTGCATATTATAAAATTCAAGATATTAATATATACTGGAATAGATATTTTACTTAAATTATTCTTGTATGTTACACCATTATGAATGAATCTGGACATGTTATCGTTATGGTTGAAGGTTGAAGTAGAACTGTTTAATCGACTAGGTTTTAAAAAAAATATTTAAACGATATTATACTAGGATAACTCTCAAGGTCGTACTCAGAAAAAATTTGAGGGGGAGGTATATAAGGTCCATAAATTAATAAGGTTTATTAATTATTATTTAAATACGCGTAGTATAAACTATAAAATCAAATTCGATTTTACAACACAAATTATAAATTTTTATTTTTTGAATTTATATTTTTCAGAACAATCAGTATTAATATTTACACGATTTTGTCAACGAACAATTATTCTTGGCATTTTTTATTTTTTCCTGTCCATCAAAAGATTTTAAAAAAAGTTTGGCTTTTTCAAAAATTGATATAAAGGCTTGGTCTATACTTTCACGTATGTTTCAAGTTCGTTTATTATCGTTTTTATGTGTTTTGTAGCTTTAATTTAATCACAATTAATTGGTTGTAGGTAGATTTTTACATAAGCGTTATACTATTAAAAATAGAGTATCAAAGTTCACTAAACTTATTGAAAATCCATTAGTCAGTATAGTCTTATTTTATCCCTACCGTATTAATATTATATTAAAATTGTTTGAGCTGTAATGCTAAATTATTAATATTATATAAATAAATAATAACAAAAAATGATATAAAATTTTTAAGTTTACGTAATGAGAACATTTTTTGACATGGGTGCTCTAATCCCCGGTGTAAGTGGATTGCGACCCAATCCCTAAATAACGTACGAGTTGCGGCTTGGGTTTATAAAAGGTACGTACGAACTGCGGCTATACATTAATGTATATATTACAGATATATATATATATATATATATATATATATACCCATAAAAAAATCAAATTTCCATTTGAAATTATCTGATTATCGCAATTAATGCGAGTCATACGGCAGATATTATACAATAAAACGATCTATATTATCTTTATTATATTATATGAAAATATAACTTCCCATACGTATTGAACATTTCATTTACCGTTAATCGTTTATCGCTATGTATATTCAACATAGGTAATGATAATTACTTGGGCTGGAACTTACCTGCAGCTAAAATATTGTCAGGCTGCAACTAACATACACCTAAAATATTATCGGGCCGTAATTTACCAGTCTCCAACACTGGAAATGACACGTTGGGCAGCAACTCACCCACAGCCCTAATCCCTAAACCCCCCGCAGGTACGAACTTGATAGCCCTAGCAGCATTTAATTGTACATCTATTAATACTAATTATACAGCTAGTGATTGTGGCAGTGAATTGTGTGATGGTTTGTCATCACCGGTTTGTTATTTTTACATAATTATAGATATAGTACGTAATTTAGCAAGACTGATTTAGTCTAATTTTTATAGAATTAATTAATAAATAATAATACAGTTTTAAAATACAATTTTTCTCCCCAAACATGGTCATATTGTTTAGGCATGTATAAATAGATAAAAAATTATAATATTATAAAATCTATGTTCAATGTTGTCGTGTCATCATTTAAAATAACACACAACGATGATGAGATACAATATGTTATACGAACATTTTGATATTCACAATCTCTATGTCTAAAAATAATATTTAATTCTCATTCGCAAACGTGTTTTGATTGTAACTAAATTTAAGTATTGTGCTTTATTTATCTTACAGTCGTCACATTGATTATTTTTTGTCCTCAAAAAAGTTAAAATGGATCAAAACGACGAAAACAGAAGTCTTGTGCAAAACGTAATTTTATATAATAACACGTACAAATTTTAGCATTATTATCCTTCGCAACTTATGGATATGATTACTATCGAATATTGCATGTATTATAATACGTTATTTGTTTCGCGTTTATCTAGGTCAACAGACTGGGTAAACGAAAAGTATTGCAGAGCTTACAACCGTGTTGTAAGGACAGAACAGTTCTGGTTGGTACCGGTATGCCTCAAACAAGGTATGCAAATATGTATAAGATTTTGTTGAATCGATAAAAAAAGGATATTCAATTATTATTTGGAGGTATTTTTTATGTAATTGTTAATATACAGAATCAATGGAAATTTGGTCAATAAATATAGGGTGTTCGACATGTTCAAAGTTTTCGTTGAAGACAAAGACGGAAATAGTGGATAATCTTTTACATACGCCATTATCCAAGTACGATATACTTCAAACAAAAAATTCATGTCTCCCAAGACACCGACTTCGATGTAATATTATATTGTAGTGTTGCAGTAGAACTAATGCAATATAATATTAAAATAATTGATTAATAATTATATGATTTAATGCCAGAATAATAGGTTGTACGAAAAATGTTTAACGAATATAAAAATCTCGTTATTTACATATTAAAAAAATAGTAATATTTTTCATTAGTTTGATCCATGAGACGACACGTTGTTAAATTTAAATCTCTCTCATCACGCCTGTGTGTCAGATAATATGTTTTATTTTAATTCGTGATTAACATTGCATCCACTACTATCTTGTTTATGTTGTACAACAGTATCACTAGTATCAGCTGTTAATAACCGTATAATAATAGATAATATTATAATACTATATAACTGTGTTTCCCAACTAGTGTTCCACGGAACCCAAAGGTTCTATGAGTCAACGCTAAGAGTTTCATGAAGAATTTAGTAAAAAATAAATTGATAAACAAAATTTCCAATTTGAATGATGAACAAGAGCTTTTTTAGTAGAGATGGAAAAATGTTCAAATTTCTGAAAAGTATGATTAAAATATGTTAGGAAATACTGCTATATAATACTGCAATAGATATAAAAATACTATAACTCCTACTTCTTTTGTTTTATTTATTTGATATTTCATTAAAATCATTAATTAAGTGACAAGCAATGGAATTTATTTATTTCGTATTAGAATGTACAAGATAATATTAAAATGTTGTTGGTCAAAATAATTAGTTTTTTGATAAATATTGGTTAAAAAATGACTAAAAAAGAAAAATTCATGATTCATTGGTATCCGATATTATTTTCTATGTATTATATTATTATGCAAACATTGTTACTCAAAAAATGTGAAATGTATTTATTTATAAAAGCAATAATATAATGTATTTATATCTAGCGTCTAGTCGATACATTATAGTATGTAGTTAAAACTAAGAATAGTTTTTTTTTTTAAATTCTACTTGCAACTATATAAAAAAATATATTATGTAAGAAATCTACTTTTGGTTAGACTTTTGATATTAGAAATAAAATTAATCACTAAAATAACTTCATTTAAACAACTTTCATGGTACCTTTTGTCTACAAGAGCAACATTCGAACTCATTGAAATTTTCGTCTAATTTTTCGTTAAAACAACTCACGGTCATATTCCCCTAAAAAAAAAAACAAAACAAAACAAAACAAATATTCATGAAAAAAAAAAAAATGTCTCGCAAGACCCAAACAAAAACTAAATAGGTAATCTGCATTAAGCGTAAAAAAGGTCGTTTTCTTTGTGCATTCAGAATCATATGGTATTATTTTTTTATGACTTCAAAGGATAAAAATTTTAATCATATTTTTATTTTAATGAGCAAATCCAAACTCAGTTTCATAGTAAAGTTATATAAATATATTAGTACATTTGGCAATTATCATTCACTAAGGAATACAGAATAAATATTAAAGAGAGTTAAAACAAATCATAGTTCATATTCAAATAAATTTATAGATTACTTTTGCGTTTATGTCCAATTAAGTCTTTTTCGTGTAATAATTTATCAAAAAAACTTGATCTAATTTGTTATTAAAATAATAAGTAGTAAGAATTAATAAATAAGAAATAGAAATAAAAATACAATCCCTAAATTTAATTTGTTTAAATTTGTCGTTTTATTTTTAAAGTATTTGCCATTTGAGCAATTATTATATTTGAGTGAACTATTCTATCCCTATTATTTAAATTTATTTATAAATAATATGAATATTAATTTACATAGTGAATTTTAACAACACCTAATTCGCATATATTTTTATCGCTATTTATATTATTTTTAATGTTTTATGTATAAAAAAATTAGTATTTTAACAATATTTTACTTGTTACGAAATCTTTATATATTATTTCTAACTAATATATTATGTACATTGGTTCATGATTTTTGTTTTTATTGTTATTTATGTTGATATTAATTGATTATATTATATTATTATCAATACGAAATAAAATTATATTATTATAAAGGAAATTTCCCGAGGATCAGTTACATTATTGAAATTAACCAAATCTTGTTAGCTTAATTATTTTATAGTATTGTTTTTATTTTTTACTATAATAAAATATTTCAGTGTAAAAATTTTTCAGGAACTTTATTTTGTTGATTAACGTAAGCACTTTTTCTAATAAGTACTCATATTTCTATTTATAAAATAATGTATTCTCAAAAAATAAGCACTATTCAATAAATGAACAAATTGAATATATGTTTAGTTTTTATGTCTCTTTTTATTATATTAAAATCATAAAAATTGCTTTATCTATTATTTTGTATCGCAAAATGTTACGCAATGAAGTGAAATAAAATTATTTTATTTTTGAAATATTAAAAATTATTATCAAAATATAATATGTTTTTAACTAATTATTATACACTCGTGAAAAGAAAAGTGAAAATAGATTATTTTATTTGGTGAATATTTTAATCCGATATTTTGATTTTTAAGTAGTATGAAAAATTTAGAACTGTTACCTATAATGATTAAAAAATGGTCTAAGAAAATATATCACATCTGAGAGTATTATCAATCGTTCACATAGTAATTAGTAATTACTAATAAACGTACTCCGTGTGGCTTTAATACTAGAAAACTGAATATTATATAAGTATATAGTCTAAACTTTTAAATTAATGATTCAATTTAAAGCTGTTTTGGTCTGGATAAGATGAAAATATTCATTCAAATTTTGTTGATTCTATCTTAAATTAACGTGGTTTGGTAAACAAAAATTATGAATTGAATCAATACAATTAAAAACTATATTAAGATTCAAGATATAATATGAATAATTTAGTAAATAGTATTTAAAAATCGTATAAAATCATTTAATTCGAAAAATCGGGTTTAATGTTGCAAGTAATTAAAATATATGTTTATAAAAATACTTAAAGTGAAATTTAAAGAAAATATTAGTAATAGGTAATTTTTAGAAAAATTATTGGCTTGTATGAACTTTGAAATAAAATGTAAAATTTAATGCGTGCTGGTTATTTAAATATTGAGTTTTATAGTACAAATAGAAGTTCATATCAACTTATAAGTTATGAGAATATAAATAATTTAACGCTATCGGTATACCCAAAAAAATTTGAGTGGCAAAAAAATAATAAAGTATAAATTAAACAGACAGTAAACCACATCATAATCTTGCGGGTAAAGTGACTGTCATTTTATTTTATCCTTAAATTATAGTCGTCTCATTTAAAAACTATTAAGTGTATTCAAGTAGATACCATGATAGGTACTCATAAAGTTTGAACAGTAGAGCTATTGAAATTTTTAAATCCAGTCATACCGAAAATTGCAGTATGATTGCGGTTTCAAAAATTAGAAGTTTTGTTGAATTTGAGTACTGAAATATATTTATTAATTGCTTTGTATCGTCAAATCATGGGAAATATCGAAGCGGTACGCGAATAGTATAAGTGTGGAGACAGAAAAGTAAAAGTGGCTTGTTTTTTATATTTTCCAAAACAAATTAGTTATGATTGCGGGATTTGATTTATTAAACGCGCCCACACTTTTTTCCCAAACAGTGCGCCAACTTGGTGCATAGAAAGAAATGTTGTCGAAGCGTTAAAAAGTTTGCAATTTAAATATTTTGTTTTAAACTTATAAATTTATCGTTCAATGAAAGAGTAATAATTATGTTTCAGCAATATCGTAGATAGTGCAGTACGTAATTTGAGAAACTATAACTCGTAAGTAAATAGAATTTCAAAATTATTTGATATAATATTTTAATGCGATATGGCAGCATTGCAGTAACAATTTTTTACTAATGCACTCTTTGTAAAATATTTTGTTACGTTATAATATTATTATTGTAACATAGAAAATCAAAATTTTAATCTAGTAGTGGCCAAGTACACAATCGCTGAAACGCAATTGCTGTGGCGTACGATTTTCTGGGGAATGTACTCACCGAGCTCTCAAAAGGTTTTCCAAACGAATTGGCATTTTGTTCTGGATTATCGATGTCCAACAGTGTTTGGTGTTCTGGTTTAGCGGTTGTGGCACCCCGCGCTGGTGTTGGGTTTAACGGAACCGTCTCGCTGCCGCTACTCGCCCCGTCGTTCTGCGAATAATTGCTGTCCACTGTTTGAACACACATTGAATATACATACACGTTCATATATAGTATTTTGTCAAAACGACAGATTTAACGTTTGCACTTTAGCAAAATACTAAATAAATCGTTAGACATTTTAGTCTATTTTAAACGTTCGACTCACTTTTTTTTTTTATCTGATAAGGGACGTGGTGAGCTTTTGGTTATAAAATAATCAAACTTGAGTACCATTAATGTACGCTTTTTTCTCCCTTTCCTACCCGGGACACTTATTTATTATTCTAACAAATTTTAATTTGAATTTAAGAGATAGTTTCGAATAGGTTTAAAGGTAAAATAATATGAATGTTTCAACACAGCAAAAATGATTTGTATATTGTGACGGTTTTCGTACAGGCGTTGGAATCGTATCGAGAGTATAAACAACAAAATCTATGGTGATTATTTAGCTTTTAACGATAATTACCTATGCGTTTCATCAATAACGTCAGTGGCTGGTGAATAATTATATTATTACCCGTTTAACGTAGTTTATTTTAATATTATATGAATTTGCATTGCTAATCTTTTTATACTGAACTAAAAAGTAAATGACGGCATTTAAGAATATAATTAATGATATGCATAATCGAATCTTTGTTATACAATATATACATATTCTTCGGCTGGTCATCCGAGAACTAGGTTATTTACCTAACTATATAATGTCGGAAATTAATACAATAATTGTTTCACGTGGTTAAAAATTTAACTGTTTTACTCAATGCGAGAGATGAACGCATACCTATATAAAGTAAACGGTGTTGATGAAAATAATGAAATCATCACTTTAGATAGCGAGTCGCAAAATCAACTTTAAAATACTTAACGCACGTACGAAATAAACTTACCGTGTGATCTTAGCGAATTCTGTTTGGACAGCTTCGGAATGTCGCTCTCTGAAAATCAACTAGAGTTATTTACTCATGTTTTATGTATGGTGCATAAATATATTTATTTCTACTTGTACTAGTAATATAATATCATTACTATTATGAATTATTATAAATTTTAGTGCGTTTCTATAATCTAATATTATATAATACAGAAGCTGCCGCATGGATGATAAATATATTATATTGGTAATGTTATAAAAGATTATGCGACATTGGTTGGTGCGTATTTAGTAGCTGGTACTTATACATAAAGTACATAATAAGGCCGTACATTTATGTAATGATTATAGATGACAATAATATTATATTATGTACCAGCTGTTTACATGACGATTGCAGGACAAGGATCGTAGGATAGAGCGAGAATAACAGGATTCTAAGACATATGACACATAGTATATAGGTTTAAAAACATATATACACAGGATCATTAAGATTTTAAGTTATAAGATTAGTGACGATAAAATATTATGTATTTTATAATTTCACGGGATCCCCCAAGGTTTGTAACGTATAATATTTAGATGATCCTATAATATAATATATACGCACACACATATTATAGTACGTATATACTAGGAGTAGATTTTTTTCGTATTGAGAGCCTGTTTTTTTTTGTTTTATTATAGAATGGACATTTTAATATGGCAAAGTAATATGATATATATCATACAAAACTAATTATTATTCATTTTTTTTTCTGTATTAGTTGTTAGTTATATTTTTACCTTTTTAATCAAACTATAACAGTTTACATTAAAATTTCAAAAAATGAAATACCTTTTATACATGAGTGATAAACATTATCTGACATAACAACCGAGATATGATCGTTGTTTATATGAACAGTTTAGTATAATGAAACAAAAAGTAGAAGAGTGATTATCACGCCAATCTCTCGGAACTTAAAACATTTATAAATAATGAATACGTATTCAAGTAATTTAGCGACGTACGTAAGAAATATTAGGATCACTGTCGATTAAAAGTGGACAAAGAAAAATCATCTCATCATACGTATACAACCAACAAATAAGGAGCAGGGGTGTATTGGAGCATAAAGTCATAACAATATTAAAAAAGAAAAAATGTTTTTGAAGAAATGCGTATTTGTAAAAAAAAAAAATAATTTTATAAATATTTGGCGAATGGTGAGCAATGAGTATATTATTTGTTTCTTTTTTTTTAAATTCTATGGTTTCGCATAACAACACGTCACCATTACACCACTCAAAAACCATACAATTATAAATATAGTCGATGTGAAAATATTTATAGTTGATAAAAATGAATTTGAATTTATTAAGCAGTAAGCAACTATAAGTATGTTTTTTTTTTATTTTTATCATAGAAACATTTTTTAGAAAAATATGACGTATACACAAACCATTTTTTTACCAATACATCCCTGACAAGGAGTGACAACTAGGAATGTTGGCGGTAGCGGAGGCAAGTATCAGCAACGCGGACTTACCGTTGTCGACGATCACGTCGATCAGGTCCATACTCTTTGCAAACGCGTCCCGGAGGTTGACGTGGTGGAAGGACACGATACTTCCTTCGCGTTTGGCGCGCTCCAACGCTTCGCGCCGCTTGAGCGCCTTTTCTCGTCGCATTTGGTTTTTATAGAACTCGGCAAAATTGTTGACGATAATCGGAATGGGCAGCGCAACGACCAGCACGCCGCAGACACAACAGACGCCACCGATAACCTTTCCCAGGGCCGTGGTCGGATATATGTCGCCGTAACCGACAGTGGTCATGGTGATGCCGGCCCACCAAAACGTTTCGGGTATGGACAAGAACTTGGTGTTGGGCTCCTCCTTCTCGGCAAAGTACGCCAAGCTAGAGAATATCAGCACACCCATGGCCAGAAATAACATGAGCAGGCCCAGCTCCTTGTATGAGTTGCGCAACGTGAACCCGAGGCTCTGCAGACCGGTCGAGTGCCGGGCCAGCTTGAGTATGCGGAGTATGCGCATGATACGGAATATTTGTATGACGCGGCGCACGTCTTCGAACTGGTGCGTGTTCGTCTGGTCCGTCTCGGCCACCAATATCAGCGACACAAAGTATGGAAGTATGGCCAGCAGATCGATCACGTTCAGGCCTCCTTTGAAAAACTTCCACTTGTTGGGCGACGCGCTGAACCGGAGCAGGTATTCGAGCGTGAACCACGTGATACACACCACCTCCACCATGGTAAAAACCGGATTGTCCTGGATCACACCCTTCGTCTCCACTTGCAGCGATGGTATCGTATTCAGCGTCAGTGCCACCGTTGACATAATGATGAACAGTATCGAAATCACTGCTATCACCTGCAGGGTCACATATAAACAACCGCGTGCGGCTCCGGTCAGACGTCCGTTTGAGAAAACACGTACTATATTTTTTTTTGTTTTTTCGTTTTTGTCCTAACGATATGTTTTACTACGGTTTAATCAAAAGCTGTAAACGTCGCTATCGTCCAACGGATATGAGACCGCTTTCAATCAAAATCGTACCGTTCCATTTTCGGCTAAATTTTAAAAATATCGATTCTCTTTTCGATCAAAATCATATCCTTCATTTTTGGTTTAGCCGAAAGAGGAAGGGTATGTTTTTAGTTAAATGTAGAAATAATCTTTATTAAATTTGGTCGAAAAATGAATCGGTCAAAAAGAGAAGAGTACGGCTTTGATCCAAAACGATTAGCATATCTAATAGAGCGATGCGTGTCGGTTTAGGTCGTCAAGTCGTGTATATCGTCTACCTATTTAATCTACATATTTGCACGTATACGTATATTGTAAGTTGTGCGGCGAATAGTTCGGAAACTCAAACAACCGTACGTCCTGTTTTTACATTCGAATCTTGCATTTTATTTGAGCACCATGGTTTTTAGCATTCTTCGAATATACATGTGGTTATTGTAAACAACGTATTTTCAAATAATATTTTGCGGTGATCAAGGACATATTGGAATACTATAATGAGACAAATTTGTTCGAATAAGTATTTCTATTATTTTTATATGAACAATAAATGATCTACCGTAGACGATTCTCATAAAATGTTGAGGCATTTATTCCCTCGATGAAAAAAGTTTGTATCGCTACTGCCCTCGTAAAATTAAAAAAAAATCGAGTTTTTGATGAACTTTAAAAATTTACAACGGGGTAGTTTTGTTAAGAATAGATAATTTAATTTGAATCGATCATATATTTTTTCACCCTTTAATCTTTACACGCCACGTCGATTATGCCTGGTATAGACACATTTTTTTTCTGATGTACCCTACCCTTACTTTCCCAATCGCGGATTATGAAATCTCGGTTACACCCTGCCAACACCACCATCACTACCTATACCAAAATAGAAAGAAATTATGCTCTATTTGTGCTAACATGGAGGTATTATACAGGTATAATAAATACGTTACATCGGTGTGTGTGTGTGTATCGCGTTAGTATAACATAATATTATATTATATGGTTTATCGCATCCTTCCGTCTACTTTTAGTGAGGTTCGCGTGCCACTGCGGCATTTCAAGCTCCGGTAGGTATACGTGGGATCGATAACGACAATAACGATAGTAATAGTAACAATAATAGTAATAATATAAGCAGCCCTCAGTTTCGAGTAAATAAATATATGTAGGTTCGCTATTTGCGTGCGTGCGCACCGTGTGCCAGTTATAAAGTTCACACTGGTCAGTGGTCAACGTACGGTTTGCGGTTCGTTTGATTTTAATTAAAACTCATTTACCCCTACATACATTCATACACATTAGTATATATAACACACGCATATATTTATATTATGTACCTATAGTTTTCATGTGAATCGCCTACCGTTGTGCTTATAAAATATTATATTGTCGATGTATTATTGTACGATAAACCCTGTGGGTGCGACGACTCTCGCGCCTGTCATATTTCAATTTGAAGATTCGTGTCTCACTGTAATATAATATTATATGATACCGTGACGATGTCATCTATATATACTGTTTAATGTATATAAATATATCACATTTCAATGTATAGATAAACGTATTATTATTATTTATCTATTCTTTTTTTTTAATTAATGTCTAACAACCGTATTTTATAATGTACGCCCACGGATTAATATTATTTATCGCACGGAAATACGCCGATAGTGGAATGGAAATTTGATTTTCATTTTACACGTCTGTATCGTTGAAAACTCGCACGCATATATTATTATTTAAAAAAAATTAATTAAATTGTTTTTTTATTCATAATCAAAAACTTGACATTCTGAAAAAAAAATGGCATACTTTTGATAAATTATATTATTTTTATATAATATTGTGTAGAAAACCCTTATCAATATAAGATATTTTTTCAAATAATTTACTGTGCTTAAGAAAAATCGAGAAAAAATGTTTAAGAGGTTTAAAAGATATAAAATTATATAAATTATAATAGATTATTAGTTATTACTTATCTCTAATATTCACTAGGTACCAACTCTCAAGTTTTTATTTTAATTGAAATTGAGGTAGGTACAAATAGGTCTTCAATAGGAGTAAAAAAAATGTTTCCATAATATCGTTTAATAATTTCTTTTAGCTTGAAATTCCTTTTTAGTGTAGACACTATAACTTAGTATTATTTACATAATAGCTTTAAATTAATTGTTTACATAACGTTAAAGCGCAGTGCAAAAAGTACATAATATATTACGTGCTTCTGAAGAAGTATAAGCGATTTCGATGAAAAGCAGCAGCGTTTAAAATAAATTAACGTAGTCCAGTATTCAATTGTTTATTTTAGTTATAACTAAAAACAAAGTTTCTTGTTAGCTTAATAACCATAAAAGAAAAGTGAAATAGAGTATTTAAAATTTTTAATTTTTTTTTTTAAAATAATGATTACGAAAGTGTAGTTTGTGATCTATTTTTATATCTTAAAAGTAATGTAATGGAGATTAGTTATCGTATACCACCAAATTTTAATTCTCATGTTTAATATTGAGCTAAAATACTAAATGGCTATTATAAAAATAAATAATAATTATAAGATACATAGTGTAGAGAAGTGTCTCGTTAGAACATGGATATTTTGATGATATGCCTAAGCGTATAATTAGTAATTTCGGTCATATAATTGTTACTTTTAATAATCATACCTATAACTAATTACTTTTAAAATGAAAGATAACTTAAAAATAATTTTTCTAAATAGGTAATAACGTGCATAAAATTATCTTAATACAAACAAATTATTTTAATATAATATCTATTATCTAAGACTTAAACCAATTTTACTTTATATACGTAAAATAGGTTGTACATTTTAATGTAGCTCTTTAATTGTAACATCGTTAACCATGGCAATAATTTTAATAATACCGAATTAAGAAAATGTTTAAAGACTATCATTAAATGTAATTACTCTTAGATTGCTATCATTTTCGTCCAAAGACTAAAACTAAATCCAAAATGATATAAGTAAAATTTAAAAAATACCATATGACTGCAATAATTGAAAGCATCGACATTATATTGTAAAGTATTATTTTTATAATTTGCATATTCTTAGATATATTATAATATGAAATAACTTATTGGTTTAATTATTATTATAATAACAATTTTTTTTTTAGTCAACTGACTATTGTAAGAGTCTAATTTAATTTAATTCCCTTAGCTAGGTAATACATTCTATCATTCTTTCATCTCATCAGTAAAATTATAATTAGATTTAATGCTAAAAAAGTATATTATACTATAGAGAAATTTAATTTTACGTAAAATAAAAGTTTTTTTTATTAATGTTATAAATAGTAAGGTTTTTATTCATACATTTAATTTAACCAAATCCGATTTTATCCCAAAAACATTCTCAATTTATTTTATTTTATTAATATTTCAATTCTTTATAAATGATGGAAAACTTCAAATTTTATACATCAGATAGATAACGGTAACAATTATTTTTTCTATTTTTGTCAAAAAAAGAAAAATCCAATTGGTAATGACAATACGTATATAACATATAATATAAGATAACTCCGTCTCTATTTAATAAATGTATAATATATACAATTTGCGATCAGAAGAATCCATTTTTTACTGTTAGTTTCAATAATACAGTGAATTGATTAATTATCAAATGTAAAAGTAAGAATATTATCAAAAGTATTTCTTTGAATTTTATTGATATTTTAATTTAAAAATTAGATTTAACAATGTAAAATATAAGATTTTCTAAGTATTCATAACTTACTGTAAAATATAAATATCAATGAAAGCCCACGATTCACGAGATACTTTTGGTTATATTCTTACCTTCGAATTAAATGCCAGCAATTGAATTTGCTATTACATTAAAATTAACGTCACAAAATAAATTCTACTGAACTTAAGTTAGGTGTGTTATGCATTTGTTAAACTGAAACAACAACAAATGCCGATGTATAGCGTCTTTATAAATATACTGTTTGAAAAGCTATCCGATGTTATATCTATTTATTATTATTGATATTGGTCAACGATATTACAATACATATCAAACACCATTGGAACGTGTGGGCATAAGAAAAATACAGTTGTATAGTTGTCGGTAATGTATAAATAATATGTTATGTTTATATAATATATATATATATTATTTGTATATGCACACTTACACACACACACACACTTTATATTTGTTATAGAAAAACCAAGCAAAATTCACATAGAAAGCCGCAGTGTTGCCAATAAAACCAAAATCAAATGCCATAAAACCATTCGCACGCAACATACGTATAATAATATAATATGTATTATAGGTAGGCATGTATAGTTGTAATACACTGTTACAGTAAGGTTTTAAAATTTTTTTTATTTATTGAAGTGTAGTCGTGTGGTAGTTCGGGCCAGGTTCCGGGGCCGGGAAGTCAATCTCGCTCACTGGATGGCTGTCTCGGCGCCGGCGCGTGACCCGAAACGTCCGTCGTAAAAAATGTTTCAATATAGTCGTGTTCGGGGTCATTCGGAGCCGACTGTCGATTTCTGTGACGAACAGGTTCATTGCGCAAAACACATTCCACACACGCGTAAAATATTTTTAGCCGTGTTTTTTTTTTTTTATAATTATTTGCCGAGTTCTATGCGTATTACAATAATTTTGTCGGTTGCAGCCGCCTTTAGAAGAAAACTTCAGCGTATATATGATGCTTTGATAGCACACACGCGGCCAGTGTATATAAAAAACCAAAAAAATTTTGTTTCGTACATATAAGAAGCCTCGTGCAACAATAATTCCCTGTTAACACACTCGAAAAGGAAAGAAAACAATAGTAATAAATAAAAGAAAAAAAAACCATTAAACGTATCAAAAAAAATATAATATGATAGAAAAAAAAAATGAAAATCGTCTCTCCACGCCCAATATAGAAACACATTGGAATCTACAATTTTTCGTTGGCGTAACTAAGGTGTGGATGTAGGCTAACTGTTTATAAAAAGTAAAACCCCTTTTTTGCTCTTCTCCGATAATCTTTATGTAATCTCACAAAAATTTGGGAGACCTGCGAAAAACAATACTTGTGATCACACGGCTCGTAAATCTTGTGTAATAACGCCCACGAGTCGATTTCGTTGATTTCATTGCAGAGAAACGATTTTCTTGGAGTTCGTATGATAAATATTACATATCGTTTATTATCCGGTTAGCATACATTACTCGTCCATTGAATGTGTTATCTACTTTATGTGGGCTTGTGAAAAATAATAAAATTACTATAGTTTTATAGTTTGAATCGAAGATGCGTTTACCGTAGAAAAATATCAAGAAACGCACTTAACAAGTAAACTGTCATTGCATATATTTTATAATGTATTTTATTGTTGAACATTTATGTGAAATATGGACAATATTTTTAACCATATTTAGTGTTTGTTGAAATTATTTTATGTGATATTTTGTTAATTGATAATATAACACCATAGGTGGAGTGGAACTAATCGTAACCCCACATAAATAATTCATTCGAGGCCAAAATTCCATTAAAAATAAAAATAAAATAACGCCTATTTCATATGCCCAAATTAAAACAACACAAAATTATTATTTACACACAATATTATTTTTAAATTTATCAAGAAATATCTTTTAAATTATAAAAATACCTATAAATTAATAAAAAATATTTGTTAGAGCCAATATTTTTAGAACTTAAAATAGATAGATAATTAATATGTGATGAATCTTTTGATGATCTTTTTGGTTTTTGTTGAAATTTAAATGAATTGTTCAAACTTTTAAGTTGAGATGTTTTGATCAATTCTAAATTCTTAATATTTAAAATATTAAAATTTATATTCTGTACTTTAATGTTCGTACAGTTCAAAATTACAATTTTTAATTAATTTTAATATAAACCATGAGATGTATGTTTTAACTGTTTTAAGATAGATGGTAGCTTAGAAATGTAATGTTCTATAATTCCGTAAAATATTTTATTTATTCTGTTCAGTTAGATCAGTTCGTGAACATAACAAAAATTTCTATAAAAAAGTAAAATTTCATAACGATAAGATAAATGGGAGTTTAAGACTAAAGTATTTACGGAACTGTTTGCAATCAAATATTTAAGACCCAACCCTTTAAAAATTTAAAAAAAATAAAAATATATTTTACAGGATTTCCACATAATATGTTTAACACATTGGACGAGTATCGTGTACTAATAACTTGGTCGTATGTATATAATAAGCACAACATACACCACGACATAGCATTATACGTCACGGAGCGTGACATTCAAAAACGGTCCATGGCCAAAGAAAATGTCGTAAAAACAAAAAAAAATGCGTGATGATGACGACGACTGTCACCTGCACTCGTGTCGCGGCATGCGGGCCCCGCTGCGGCATCGGCGGTGGGGACTTACCCGTCGTGCGAGCAGTCGGCGTGTAATGACGATGACGATGATGACTTACCCTTGCCGCAATGCTGGTGGTGGGCTTCTCGAGCAGGTCCCACAGGATCTTCTGGTAATGCGCGCACTTTCCCTCGCCAAACTCTTCCTCGTCGCGCTGCCGCAGAGACTCTGCCTCTTTGCGCATTTCCTCGTGCACGTGTTCCTTACGCTGGTGGTACTTGTGCTGGCAACACGACTCCAAGTACAATTCGTCGACGCCCCAGTACTCCAGATCGTCGCTGAATGCCAGCACGCACATTTCGTCAACCAGGTGCAACTTGCCGGTTCTGTAGAAGTTTAACACCTGCAGGCACATCGGACATACACATTATAACATTTATTTTTTAACACAATAATAACACGTTATATCATAGTGATAACACAAGAGTTATACAATGTACTATAAAAAAGTCTATCCAGGATAAATTCATTCTTCCGATCCTATACATCAGCCGTCAATGTCCGATACTCTGGTGTTGTTTGTAAAATCGGAATGATAATATTATACAATCAGCATTGTAATGAAATTTTTTGTTTTGCAATAATTTCTTAATGTAATCGCCAAATGAATATTGTTTTAGTATTTTACTATTTAATGGTGTTATGTATCTATAATATGAGACGGTATGATTATGAGAATATCGGAATTGAAAGGTTTATTAATAGGTAGTTACAATCCTAAATAAAAAAATTCTTAAATATACCTAGCTCAATACATATTCTCATTTCGATTTTCTGTCAAACATTTTTCTCCATCTGCTTGCATTCCGTAAACCATTACCTACTTTTGCTTTAAATCTTTTATCTCCTAATAGATTTTTCCATGTCATGTTCAATTTTTAATATTGATGACGTTAGTTGTATTATTTTTAGTTATATTATTGATTGATATTTTTATATATTATTTAATAAATCACTTATACTTTACGCTTTTCGCTCAGCAATATGTCTATTTTTAATTCTTGAAACTCACATAACGTTATTAACTATCATCCCATTACGATTTAATTGCATTGTCTAAGAAATTTAAATTATCGTACTAAATTATATTCCCTTAGCGCTCAACCATATTTTGTTCGTTCAATAACAAGTAACAATATATAGGTTCCATCCTAGTTGCTTTATTATTCTACATATCATCTCGCTATAATTTCTTGCATTTAGGAGACTTTCTGCGAAAATAAATCAAGTAAACTCAATTTATAATAATATTTGAAAAGTATTTGATCAAGTAGACCATTTTCTCTAATTTAAATACTTTACTTCTTCGGTATAGATAATTCTTTACTTACTTACCAGTTATGATCGTATTTAGATATTTGATTAATTTATGTTTCTATCTTTGGTTAGTGTTTATAAAAAGTTAGATCTTATTATCCGAAAAATGTGAACAACAAACTAAAAAATTCAGAAATTTGTTTTTATTATTGGTAATGGTTCAACATTTAAAAAATATTTAACAACTTTTAGAAAAAAATAGAGCGGCGGTAATAGTATAACATATTTATAATACAAAATATTTGTTTTTATTGCATTTTTAATAACTTTAATATCAATAAACAAATTAACTACGGTCAAGTTCGAAATCAGAGAAAATCAATCACAGAAGTATATTTAGAAGAGTTTTGAAAACAAAAATAATTTGATGGTTTGTTTAGGCGTAACGTGGCACACATTCTAAAGGAAACTTATTATTATTGTTTGTTTATATCACACTGAAGTGGCATAAGACACGCTGTGAATGATATAATAAAAGAGCGTTTGGGATTTTGGTGGAAAAAAGGATGTAAAAGGGATGTTTATTTAATTTTTTAAATCATTTTACGTGTGTGTCGATTGGATCAGGATTTGTGTGTATAATATTATATACCTACGTACAAGTGCGATCGTCGCGTTTATGGAGAATGGAGACTGTTCGTTTCAATTATAATACGTGATGCGGTGAAATAATTCGAGTCCAACGTTGACAAGCAAATGGGTGGGAATACAGTATATTTATTTTATTATATTTTATTGATCTTTTTTGTTTGGACCTCATAAAAGTCGTAATACCAGTATTCGTTCGCGTAGATGATTGGATGACAAGCAATCGTGATCGGCTGTGATTCATATAATATATTAATGTATTCATTCGGGAAACAGGCTATAATATAGGTATAACACACCCATAAATGTTAGATTTTTGGGAAACAATTCCATACAAAAATATCCTGTTTCTAAAAGCAGTCTCATGCTTCTAAAAAGACAGACTTAAATATTATTAATTATAACACACTTTTGAGAGAATTTACTCAATATGAGTGTACAACTATTAACGATTGTGTATCTTTCCCGCTGTATCATTGACACAATAATGTTTGCCAATTATTCTCCTCACAGCTATGTGCCCCTGTATTGGTATTTGGTGGAAAGGTCTAGACTCCGAAAACAAATTTATTTCAGTTTCACGAAAGATACATGCCAAATCGTTATGTATTTATGGTCTTTCGGGAATTATTTTTTAAAATTATTTTTACTGTTTTATATTGTGATACGATTCCGAACAAAAACTGTTAAATTAATATAATATGATTCGTTAAGAAAACTGGGTTGAGAAATAGTTTAAATATCGAAAAGTACGTATATTTATTAAAAATGTGTAGAAATTGTTATTAAGTTATATTTGTAAACACTAAACATAATTACTGTTTATCTATAACCATCAGGTCCAAGACAAGAATTTATTTAAAAATATAATAGTAAGTAAAAAAAAAAATTGTTATCAATTATTTTAAAATTGCGTAAGTTACAATTTTTATATTTACACTTTACACGATTGCGCAGATTACTTGTATAATCATGTTATCAATGTGTCCTTTTTCTATAGTTTTATGTGGCACAAATAACATACATCCCATCCGTAACATGCGTGGTAAATGGCAGTAATACAACGTTCACAAAACACTATCATTTTTGGACGTATAACGTATAACATTATATAATTTTATAGTTACCGAGCTGAAAGATTTTGGGTGCCTGTCAAAAAAGTACTCGTTGTCGGCCAACGAGTAGTCGTCGCACAGCTCGGATATTGCCTCATGCGTGTTGCAGTCCCTCAACCGACCCAACCTGGTATGCGGTAACCGCTCCAGGGTCCGCCATAGTATTTCGTGCTTGACGCCGCCCACGTTTATGCACACTCTTCGGTTGAGGGCCTTCGACCGCATTATCATGAACGGCTCGGGAGGCAGCGACGACAGCGATCTGCTGTGCAACCGCCGGTACAGCTCCTGCGCCTGCGCCGGCGCGGACGGTGGTGGCTGCTTTGTGACCGGGAACCTGATCTCCTTCTGACTGTCCGGTTGTGCGGCGGCCGCGGCGGCCGCGGCCGTCCACCGCACCGCCGCACCGATTGGTGGCAGCCGCGGGCCGCCGCAGCTGTTGTTTTCGAATCCGGTGCCCGCATTGCGTTCCGCGGCCATCAACCGGACACCGGACCGTCAACCGTCAATCTTTTTCCGTCCATTCGTCTGCGGACACAACAAAACACCATAAGGTTATAACAATATCAGTACCCAACGGGACCTGATCTCTAAGTACTGCTATACAACGGTAATTTTTTGTATATGCGAGTATGAGGAAAAGAATGACGAAGCCAGCAGTTCATAGTTACGTGTTGTCGTGCCATGTCCATAATAAGTCGAATTTGGGACAACTCTAGAAATTTTCCAGTAGATCATGGTTAGTGATTAATGCTATGATTACGATGGCTAATTAGAATACTGTAAAGGCACACTGGTACAACATAACACGACAACGCAACAGTGAACCTGGCTATTAAATAAAAAAATATACATAATATACATATAATATCATTATGATAACTTGTTTTAAAATTGTATTATATTTAAAAAGAAAAGAAATTATTTCAACTAAATAAATAATAAAATAAAAGATTAATGATAAAGAATATAAACAATTCATGATAATTGATTAAAAGTTATCCCTTGATATCGAATACTAATTTGTAACAAAACCCAAAGGATAATATTGTTTGATTTAAATTTTATTATTATAGGAAATCGTTTAATTACAAAACCTCTTAAATTTACGATGTTAATAGATATCTATATCAATTACACTTCAGTCTGCTTGTTAAATTTTTCAGAGAAGAAATGGTGAGTACATGTGAAATACGTTGATTATGATACGCATTCAAATTTTGATGGAAACATGTGTTTATATCATTTGAGCGAATTCAATAACTACCTATTTAATAACCTTAGGTTAAAATGAAGCACTATGTTTGAAACGTACCATTGAGCATGCATTATTGCATTACAATTATTTTTAAAATAAAATTTTCCGGCAACGTCGCAGTAATTTTGTTTGGAGTTGTATGAATAAAAACGTAAACGGAAAATTATGAATCATCAAATATGAGAACCATGAATACAGTTTGAAAACAACGCGATCCAAACCTCACTAAAACATTGAAATCAATGTACTAAAATATCAAATATAGTATTTAGTATAATATATAGTCTATATAGATTAGTAAATATTGGAGTATTCTTTCTGTGCAGCACAATTGGGCATTTATACCTGTTTGGTATCGCAAATTTACATAACGTTTATGGGAGCAATCAATATACTTAAAATTTTACTACATTAGGTATTGAAATAAAATAAATATATATCGTTTAGTAGCTATTTTGTTTAATTAATCTTTTCATGAAAATTTGTCTATTTCATGAAGTAGAAACAGTATTTTTTACATTTCATGAAATATAAAAATATTTCACTAAATAGTTACTCCAATTTGACATCATGTAATTTTTTTCACAAAATGGTCATTTACTTTTTAAAATAAAATATTTTCTATGCTACTATTATTGTAATATTTTTAAATCTACATATTGAAAATTTAAATACGTCTTATCATTTTATTTAAAAAATGGAAAAAGAAGTTTATTTTATCAAATAGTAATTTGTTTAGATTATTAGCTATTTAAGCAGAACTATGAGTATTGACATTGGCTCTAACCTTTCATACTAGGTACGGTACCTTAAAATTAAGTACATACTTACGTTTTGGGAACCCCTGATCTTCTAGGTTAAAACTTTACAACTTGGATAATTTTACAAAAATTGTTATTGGTTATTCAATAATTTAATAATTCAATAATATCTTTTTTTTTGTTATCTCTATGATATTAACTTGGGTATATTAAATGTTTATATTTTATTGATATTGATTTTATAGTCAAGTATAATATAATTGTTCTAAAGATTTTCGTGAAACTGTTCAAGCTATAATCATAAGGTTAGGAGTTCCTTAGTTGTTTGTGTAAGAGTACATTACTATCCAAACAATAATATGTTTGTTTTAAAGATAGGTATAGTATAAATTGTAACAGCTATTATCACAACGCATCGTTCTGTTTAAAATGCTTTAAATAAATAGAAGTTAAAACAAATTACTTTATAGTGTATACTTAAATAAAGTTTTTTCAACTTTTTGACTATTGTATTTTTGAAAAATAATTGTAAATATAACTTAAATTTATAAAAGTAAAAATCGTGTATAATAATAAATATTAATATATATAAATAATAATATTTATTTTTTGTAAAATAAATCACATGATTTTAAATTGGAGTAAACGTTTTGAGAAATATTTTTCTATTTCATTTGCTGTAAAAAAACTGTTTTCACTTCATAAAATGGATTAGTTTTCATGGAAAGATGAATTTTACGAAAAAGTTATGCGACATAAATTATATACCTTTAGTAGGTTAAACTTAAGTATAAAAACAATATGGAATATATTATACTAAATAATACTTTTAATAATATAAAGTAAATAAATAATATTAAAGTTATAGTCTTGTGTTCTGTATTATTTCTATAATTTATTATTATTTGATTATAATTTACAATATTGACTCGATTTAAAATTGGCATGCAATCATTATTTATATAGTTGGAAATATTTTTTAATAAATATTAAATAGTGTTCAAACCTAATTATTATGATTTTGTATAAATATGTGTCGCGTTTTTTTTTTTATGAAATGCCCAAACCTACTTTGGCTTATTTTAAAATTCTAAATCCTAATATAATAGAGATAAATGGAATCTTGACAAAAATTATTCAAAAAAGTCATATAGCTAATTTATTTCTCAATGAAATTTTTTTTCCGACCATAACTACCATAGTAGTTAACAATAATTTATCGTATTTATTCACAACATTTATATTTATTTCTCTAGACATTTATTTTTTAAATATATTTATTATATGATTTTATAATACTCATTAAAACTTACATTTAATTATTAGTAGTGATTTTCTATATTGACTTTTGACTCACCATAAATTTCAATATGTTGTACTTTAAACTACATACATCCAATGCGTATCTGTTAAGTTAGTTTTTGAATTTAATAACAGTTTTATCTTAAGTCACAAGTAGTTTTAATTATTTAGAGAAATAATATAATATGAAGTAATATTTGAAATTTCAATATTACATAATTAATATTGTATACGTTATATCGTATTAGCTTTAATTATATCTCAAGTCATACCAGTGAAACCTTGATTTAGAATTTTAGAGAATCGCAATCGAAACTGAAACTTTAACTTTTTATTTAGACAAATCGAAACCTATTAAATCTTCAAAGAATCAGTTCCCTTATCAAATTAAATTTCTAACTAGTGTGGGTGACAATGTGGTAGTTTTTATTTTATTAAGCCTTGTCGTAATTACTTTGTGTTTGATGTATATAATAATATATATTCATATATATATATATATATATATATATACATAATAACTATTTATAATTATAATTTCTGAAAATGCTATTCGTCATTTGCAGATTGTAATATGGACGAGTTGAATCGTTGATGTATATAACAACATAAATGTGTTTAATTTACTATTGATGTAATGGTTTTATCGTGTATTTTCATAATTATCGTTCGGAAATTGTAAGTACGTCATTGTAACAATATTTACATAATGTAATTCTCGGTGAGTATATCCATGTATAATGCTTGGATAAAGTTGACTTTACTATTCTAAGCGATCCATGTATACCTGCTATGTCTGTGGGGTAATTGTGTCGTGCCGTCAATCGAAAAAAATAGTCGACACACGGTACATAATAATAATAATAAGCGCACGCGAGAATGAAATATAAATACGTGCAGGGGTGAAATGTAGGTATGCGTGTTATGATTAAAACACAAGATAAAAAGGTAGTACCTACCGCGCGAAAAAAATCGTTTTGCCATTAAAAATATCGGTTAACTTTGCACTGCAGTTACATGATAAAGTAATTTTGTATTAATAATATATCCCAGCTATGATACTGTTTAATGTAATAACCAATAATAAGGATGGATAAAAAATAGATTATTTTCGTACTCAGCCTACTTTTTTAAAATTTAACACATTCATTATGATCATTCCTTTGTGCAACATGTGTTGAATATTCTCTCTCATTTTACTTACGTTTTCACGAAGCAGAAAGCGGACATTCGATTTTTCTTTCTCTTTTTTTATGACTCCGTAGACGCATCTGATCTCCTTACCGCGTAACTACCGCGTACCTTCATATTTCTCTCAAAGTCGAGCACCTACCTTTGTTTCATCTCATTCCACATCCTGGCTCTATAAGCGTTATAAGTTATAACCATCAAATTCATTGAATGTGTCTCATTCTATTAATAATTAGGTTTCTAAAACCTAATGTCAATTTTTTCCCTTCAAGCTCCTATTTTACCACTGTTATAAGATGTATAAATATTGTTATTATTATGTTATATATATATATATATATAAATATATTACAAGTAATATTTTCCATCAAACAATATGTTTAAATAGAATTAAAAATAATATAAATGTCGAACTTGTATTACTAGTGCGAGAAATAGATGATTGATCGTGTTTGTGTATAATATAATATAATAATGTACTTCCACAATCACAAGTAATCTCCACGAATTCTTCGATATTTCCCTGATAATCAAACTCGAAGTGGATAAATACTCAACGAGAATATTGAAGATGCGAGATTAACGTCAATACAACGAGTAAAATACGTATATATATATACATAAATGAATGGCTTCCACTAAATTGATATTGATTTTTGCGAAATCGAATTATCGAATTGTTTGTACAAACCATTGCTATTAAGCTGGACAAAGTTTGTAATATAGTTTTGTATTACAGCCACAGTCGAAATGGACGTATATCTAAGAAGTTTTGGGGTAAGTGGGTAACCTCTTCAGAATGCGGTCGCGACAATGACTGCTGTAATATCGCATTGTGAAGATCAAGTTATAACATTATTTAATAAATTATCGAAAATATTAAATCATATCGTTAAAAATCAAAAGAAGACTCTTCGACTCATGTCGTTTATTGGGATGAAACATCGTGTACTACGTGAGGTCCGAACAGCTGTTTGCTCATTTAATAATAATTTATTAACACCATAGTCAGTCTC